GGCACAGGAATGTGACCTCCAGTCTCTGGAGGCTCTTTCTATCCAAATTGCAGGGGCTCCCTCCATAAACACAGAAAGGAACTGCCCCCCGCCCCACACACAGGCACAACTGGCCGGACTGGGAGCACACGGTGGAAGATGAGGGGCCAGCAAACCCTCTGGTGCAGAAGAATGATGTAACCCCTAAAGTCTGAAAGCAAAATGCAAGTCCAAGAAGGCAGGCAGTTATACTCCACTGAACCATTTGCTCAGTGTGCTTCGCTGAAACTGTAAGCGTTGTGTGGAAATGGGGTATGGCCCGGTGTGCCTGGGACACACTGGGTGAGCAGGTGAGCGGCTCAAGTTTCTTTGCTGCAGGACTTCTCAGAGCTTTTGCTGTGAATCGTCAATCACAAGACACAAAGCCTTATTGCCATTTGCAGAATTTTCCAAACTTACTGAGCGTAGAAACCTTATGTGTGTGGGATGAATAGCATGGGGATGCAGGGGTGTGGGCGCATGTCTGTGCATGTTTGCATGTGCGCGTCTGTGAGTGTGAGTGTGGGGTGCCCACGGGGGTCTGTATAGAGTCTCCCGGTCACCCCGTTGAAAAATACTGCAATAGAGGTATTTGCCCAAGACACCAAAGCCAACACCTCGGTGACAGTAGTCTCAGGATCCGTATTCAGCCTTTCTCCTGGCTGCAACCTCATCTCTACAACTTAGCCCACGGACATCCAGGCAATGACTCCAGTGTCAGAAATAGCTAGGGCAGTTTTCACCCCCACTCCCAGAACCCTCTGCCTCTGCGAAGGGGGTTGCTTTGAGGAATTTGTGAGGACTCCAAACCAACAGAGTGGTGATAAACCTCAGCCTCTGCATGAGGGTAATCTGCTCTGCAGTGAGAAGAGCAAGAGACAGATGAGAAAGAGTTTGTGATTAAGGATCTGTGGCCTGTGCTCACGGAAGGAAGTGAGTGCAAAGAGAAATAGCTGAATATTGATGTGGGTAGAGTTCTTACCCCTAGCCCCTTCCAAGAACCCTACAAAAAAAAAACCCCAAAAACAAAACAAACAAACCAAACAAACAGAAAAAAACCATCTCTTTTCTTTCAGAGCAGCTTTAAACAAAAACAAATTGTCTTGTCATCTTAGCGTGTACTAGCAAAGAGTCCATCTCTGCCCCTTGCACCCCCCCAACCTTGGATCTACCAGGTGCTAAAGGCACTGGGCTGCCCAAGCTATAGGCTGGTTTTATTTATTTGTTTAAGCGGCAGGTTGGGCTTACCACTCTCCCCCCTGCTGACCATCCTAAATCACACTGCCCTTCCAGCGTGTGGGAGGGAAACCTCAAAGGGCCAGGGGGCTGAGCCCTACTTAGCATCTGTGAATGTCAAGCAACCCAGAAACTTGAAAGGGATTCTCAGCAGCTCCCTTGAGAAAATGCCCTTAATTAATTTTGCAGCTTCTGGTCACGCCAGAAAAGCCTCAGGAAGTCGGTTTGCTGCTCATCTCCACTTTCTTAGGTTTTTAGCAAGCATTGGAAACTGAGCCCATCAGCCCTACAATCCACAGCCTGTGCAAAAGTGTCTGCAGTGAATGGTGAGTTTTATCCTCCGAGCCAACGCTTCCTTGAGGAAGGAACCCGGGGCCCGAGGGGTGGGGGTTCCATCTCAGAAAAGATCATCACCATAGAAAAGAATGGTCTGAACTCTTGCAGAGTTGGGGAAAATTACATTTCTTTTCCGGACTTGGAAGCACAAGGGAAAATTTCATGTTTGAACTATGTAACCTGGGCAAGAGGTTGACAATGCGTGAGGTTGCTTCCGCTGATGATCCTGTTCTTTGAAGTCTCTGCGGCTGAAACACTGACGTTGGGTGTTTGAGCAATCGCAGATGACCACGGCCCCCGGTGAGAATGCCCTGCCATCAGCGATAAGGCCTCTTGAGAAAGGCCACAACCACTCCCGCCTGGCCTCAAGGGGTGCAGGGAGCTGAAGCAAAGCTGTTTACCTTTCAAGCATCTTGATGCAAATTCTTGTCCCTGTGTGTGATGATTGAGGGGGATTGACCAGAAAGGGGGTAACGGCTTTAGGCAAGTAAAACCTGTGCTGGAAGAGAGAGCTCGAACTGTGGCGGGGGGGGGGGGGGGGGGGGGTTAGTGACAGGCGAGATTCAGCATTGACCCCTTCACACTCCAGGTCACCAGACTCCTAACAACTCAGATTCACAGAGTTCCCAGAAGCATTTATACATAGTTTACGAGACCCACTTAGGATTTCATTGTTTTTATTTATTCTATTTTTTTCATTTGAGCATAGTTGTGGATTTCACTGATTTTTTTAAATTTTTTATTGTTATGTTAATCACCATACATCACATCATTAGTTTTTGATGTAGTGTTCCATGAGGATTTCACTGATTTTAACTTATCCAGCGAAACTTCATTTCTAGGTGCAGTTTTAAGTATGCAGTTTTGTTTATGAAGAGGCTTTTTTTTTTTTTTATTGAAGGCCTCTGAAAAACCTATGAATTATCCCACTCAAACGGTTCCAGGGATGGATTTTGGTATTGTTTTTCTAGCATGGGAGCTTGTGTTTTATTTATTATTACAAAACACAGGAACGTTCAGATCAGAAAAAGAAGGTCTCTCAATTTCATCCCTGGGAGATAACCACCATTAATCATTGCTATGCCTCGTGCCAAAATAATGTTTTCTATGCATACGAAATCTTTTCTGTTTGTGACAACTATCAAGGCAGAGGACTTTAGAATTGGCTTTAGGTGAGTAAAAATAATGCATGTTCTTTAAAAATTTCAGTACTGCAGTCTGGATCACACTAGATAGCCAAACTGCACTTTATCTTCCTGTTAATGACTTCATAGTATTTCATTGGATGGATGTTTTGTAATTGATGAAACGAATTCCCAACTGATGGACCGTTAAGGTGTTTCCAATTTTCTTTTATGCAATTAAAAACAATGGTGCAGTGAGGTTTCTCACAGCGATACTTTTGCATATTTCTGCTATTATTTCCATAGAATAAATCTGAGAAGGGCGGAATCACGGCCCCAAGGAATGTGGACGATTTTTAATTTTGATGGCTTACAATTTTTTATTTCCCTGTTGTCTTCTAAGGTAACATGCTGCTGATAGTCTTCACTTCACACTTCTCTGCCAACCCTGAGGATGACCATCCTGTTCCGTCCTTATCTACTGCAGGGGAAGAATGCACTACACCTTAACAGTGATTCTCTCCTAAGATGTGGTTATGTTTCTGTTTTACTGTTCCCTCCATAATTTTCTTTAACTTCCAAATTTTCGACCATAATTATAAAATGTATTAAAGGGAAGTTTGAGGGCTGAGTAGTTTTCATGGTTGAGAGAAATCACATATGATCGGAGATTAGAAAAGATTGTCATGCGGGAGAATGTCCACCTCCTAATGGATGGGCAGAATTTCTGCCTGGGCAGGAACGCGTTGTGATTGAAGAGAATCCCCAAGACCCAGGGAAGGAGGTGGAGATGTTGATGGACAATGGGGAGCAAGCAAGGATTTTGGTCCCAAGACTCTGATCGGGCTGGGGTTTAGGAAGAAGAATCTAGCAGTGATGTCTCTCCAGGGAGAGCCCAGCCCCCAGACAAGGTCCCCTGTGCAGGCACGAGGTAAGGAAGACAAAACTACGCTAAAGCAAGGGGCCAGACAGGGAGGCACCAGCCTCAAACACCGTGCAGGCACAAGTGTTAGGTCTTGGGGGGATAGCCTTGTGCCTCACATAAGCCAGGGAGCCTCAGGTGTTCTTTGCAGAAGCAGCGCTATGCCATGTAAGCAGGTTTTCCTAGCTTGGCTGTTTGTGAAAAATAAATCTGGGTGGAAGGCCTACAAGTCTTGTGCAATTTCTCACTGGAGAGAGGTCAGGCTCGGGCTAGCAAAGAGAGGGCCATTTCAACCACAGTGACCGCCTTTTCCCTCAGGAAGATTGCATTTCTCCAACACATCAAAAAAAAAAATGCATGGGTTTTAAGTGTTTCATTTCTAGATCAATATTTTCCAAGGAGAGAGAGAAATTACAATTCAGGCGAAAACAAAACAAAAACAGTTTAAACTCTGGCCACTGGCCCTCTCTTTCAATCGCCAGAACACAGTGTCCGGGGGACAGTGTCAACCCTTTATTTCTCCATGTTTTTCAGCCAAATGTGTTCCCACCATCAGTCCATTCACTTCTCAAAAGAGCCACAAGAAATAAGCCTGTTAAGTGCTTTGTCAGAGATGAAGAAACAGGCTTAAGGGGATAGCATTTTTAAGATAGGTCTTTGGCAACAAAATAACACCCAGATCAGTCCCTTATAACCACAGAGTTCTGCTTCTCACACAAGCTAGGCCTTGGCAGAGAGTTGGGCGTGGCGCCATGTTGTCTACAACCAGATGCGAGGGGGGTAGCTGATTTGGGGGCGGAGGTGTTCTCATGGCCAAGAGGAAAGAGCAAGAAAGCTTTCACTTCGAGTTTCAGCCAGGAAGTGGCACATTATATCACTTTTGCTCACTTTTCACTGAGCAAAGCGAGTGCGGACCTCCGTGCAGCGTTGGGGCATGGGAAGCAGAGGACCCAGCAAAGGATGCTGCAGCCACGGCTGCTGGAGCCACTGTATAAGCTTCAGACAGGGCAGGGGAGCAGTAATGCAGGCTGCCATGGGGCCCGTGAGGGGATGGGGGCTGGAATTCAAAGGCCCACCTCTCAGGCTCCAACGCTCTGGTTCTTTCTATTACACCGCGTTCCTTCTCCAAACCCTACACAGGATTTTGGCCCGTCTGATGGAGCTCTGATTCCAGAACTGTGCCTTGTCTTCCTAGTCTTTGTCTGCATTTCTGTTCCATGTCGTAAAGGGCCACTTAGGAACACCACCAGCCTTCCCACCTGCAAAACATGACCTCTGGACTGGGCCTCCAAGACTGGAATAACCCAGTGGTGTAAAAATACTGACTCAGGTCCAGCTCAAGCTCAGCTTTCTTTCTGGATATATTAATTTGGGTTTTTGACCCATCCTCCCTGGATCTCCAATACATTTGGTCTCTCCACGGGGATCCTCACGCTCCCTGGCTGCTTCCAATTCTCCATCACCTCATTGTGAGGTGCCAACATACTTTGCAGCCACATGGCAAGTATAGGAAAGAAAAGGGAGCGGGTCTCCCTTACAAAGGGTGTCTCCCCAGAGTCTTCCATCAAAGGGTGCTGGTGGAGGGGCCTCCCTCTTGTATCCACGATGAACCTGCCGAGGCGAGGGCTCATCTCCAATTCTTCAAGGTTTATGCTCCTTCTTTTTCCGCGTCGTATTAGCAAGAGTCAATTTTAGGAGCTGCAACAGTCAGGTCTGTGCAAACAAATTTTCTAATGATAACCGGACTAAATAGTTTGCCCAAGAACAAACAGTGCTTTGCAATTGGCAAAATGTCCTTTCCGGGGGCGGGGGGGGGAGTGAGGCTTGTAGGTACTTGATGTGGATGAAAATGAGAAGTCCGAGGTGCTCAGCCAGGGCTCTGACAGGTTAATGCTTAGACCTGACAACCAGAAGGTAAGCAGAGAAAACAAACAAAAGCAGGATTACTACAAATAAGAAAGGTGCTTTGGACAACCTAGAATCTAAGAGAGTCGAAGAGGAAAAGCACCTACCAACTCATCACTTGGCTATTATTATTCTTACGTTTGGTTCCGGTCCCTTTTCATATGCATATAAAATCTAAATGCTTGCTTACATAAACTTGGGTATTCAGGTTTTAAAAAAATTAACATCAGTAGGGGCCCCTGGCTGGCTGGATAGAGCAACCTTGCAGCTCTTGATCTCAGAGTGGCAAGTTCATGTCCCATGTTGGGCATAGAGCTTCCCTAAAACCCCAGAATTAACATCGATAAAGGTTCTTCATGATCTTTGCTTTTGATGGCTGAATAATTCTCTTACTGAGAGGACTGTTTACATGTTTTGTAATTTACTTAGCCGACCCCCTTAATGCTGAACATTTAGGTGATTTTTATTTTATCCTTTTGAAATCATTAAGAACACTGTTACGAACATATTTATACATTCATATTTGCGCATAAATAGGAACTTGTGGTTATCTTGTTTTTTTTTTTTTTAGGCAATGAAGCTAGATTCTGATCCCAAGAGTAGGGACATAAAAATGATATTGCCTATTTCCAGAAACCTAACGAAAAGTGTTACTTTTCTTGTGTGTTTTGAAATCTATAGGAAAGGCGACCCCTTCAAGAACTTATGACAATGTCTGCAGCCTGCAGTTGGACGAAGTGTCTTTCGTATGTATGCACGCTTCTTTGTGGGAAAAGTGGATCCTCCCTAAAAGGACTGTTAAAAAACAAAATTTAACTGAGGAAATTTTGAAGCTCTTATTGGCTTTATTCAGGATTCCATGAATCAGGCAGCATCCAATCTAGCAGACAGAAAGGAGCTCCGAGGAGCTGCACAAAATGAAAGACTCATAGGCAGAAGCGAGCTGGAACAAGGAAATTATGCTGGACACAAAATCAGGTTGGCTATCCCAAGGTCACTTTCATTTAGAGGATGGTGGATTATCTGGTTGGTGCGGGCCAGGCAATTCCTGATGGATTGGCTTAAGATTCTATTTCTGGGAGAGTCAAAACCGTAATTAAAATTCTCAGTTTGGTGATGTGAGGCTTAAGTTAAGTTTCGGCTTCATGTTGTGGGGCTTAGCAGAAGCGACTTCATCTCGAGCATGTTATCTTGTTTTTAACAATTTGTTGTACATTTCTTTGTTAATCTCACCATTAACTTCCAGTATCTGTTGCTATTTAAGATGATGTTTAAAAAGTTCTATTTTTTTTAAAGATTTTATTTATTTATTTGACAGAGAGATAGAGAGCACAAGTAGGCAGAGTGGCCGGCAGTGGGAGAGGGAGAAGCAGGCTCTCCACTGAGCAGGGAGCCAGACGTGGGGCTCGATCCCAGGACCCCAGGACCCCAGGACCCCAGGATCATGACCTAAGCCGAAGGCAGCCGCTTAACCGACTGAGCCACCCAGGTGCAAAAGAGTTCTAAACGATGTGGAAACACACACACACACACACACACACACACACACACACACACACACACCAATGTATACATTATACAAAATAGCATTTAAAAAAGACTGGAAAGAAATGCATCTGAGGTTAAAAGTGTCTTGAGTAGTGGGAATTTACCAAGCTAGATTTTGTGGGTTTGGTTTTTTTTGAACATTCTTTTTTAGAAAACAAGGTTTTATTTTAAGTAATCTCTACACCCAACGTGGGGCTCAAACTCGCAACGGCAAGATCAAGAGTCACGCACTCCACCGAGTGAGCCAGCCAGCCAGCCAGGCGCCTCGTGTTTTTTGAACATTCTATATTTTCAATAATGAGCATGCATTACTTTTATAAGCCTAATGGGAAAAACCATTAGCTTTGGAAACCGAAAAGGAAATGCAAGTGAAGGTCGTGCTGCTGCGTGGGGCCAGCACCATTTATTTGGCATCAGGAAATTGGAAAGAGAAGCGCAAGTGCTTGCACCATTTACTCATTTGCTGATCACTGCCGCGCATGAGAATTTGGCTACTTTGTCTACAAAGCATTAGCCTTCTTTCTGTAGTTAGTGCAGCCACATTCAACATTTAGATACTGAGTATATTTCCAGGGCAGGTCTGTTTCCCTTTTTTCACTTCAGGAGCTGACGGGGCTGCCCCATGTTCTGCAGGTGAGTCAGTCTGGCACAGGAGGCAAGAAAGTCTGCTTTGTGGGGTGCCGCGAGCTGAGGCAAGCTCCAAGGCAGAAGAATCTGCCCTATTTGGCTTTTTTCACCCTTTTTCTCCTCTTTGCCCTTGCAGGGCACTTCCTGGGTGTCGAGTTCTTTTCTTATTCTGGTTGTGTGAACAGCATTTTAAAATGCCAATTTCCCCAGCTTACTTAAAAACGTACTTGGATGTTGTGATAGCCATGTTTCCAATTAGTGTGACACATTCAGCCATATTTTTAATAAAATGGTGAGTTCACGGAAAATGAATTCAAATGATTTAAGAAACTGCTTCCCTCCAAATGGTTATGCAATGCAGCACAATCAAATTCTGAGTTTCTAAGTCTACCCTCCATGAAAAACACCTCCATGAAATTAAACTACCCTCCTTATGCCTCTGTCTTAGAACTGCTGGATAAAATATAGGATATCCAGCTGAATTTGATTTTCAGATAAACAACAACAAATTTTTAATGTACATGTCTCAAACAGTACATGCCACTTTCTCCGACAAGTGAAGCAATCCCTGACCTCCAGTTAGAACAGCCGGTCTCTGGAAAAGAAAGTTTGGTTAGTAACTTATGCTGTAGGGTATAGATGAGAGCACACTTAGCAGTTTGGACAAATCGCCCATTAGTTGCTTTTCTCAAGGACAGGACAGTTTTCGTTCCTTTGAGTCCGTTTGGGAACCCACCAAGGGAAGGCTACCCTGTAGTCCTTGGCACATTCTCATCTCCAACGTGGACAAAGTGCCTGGATCCAGAGCCTGTTGGATGAGCAGTGAGGGGTAAGATTGGGAGGGGTGGGGGAGAAGGGAAGAGCTGTGGCTTGTGGGCTTGTGACCCCACCCCCAAACCTGACCGTTAGTCAAGTTGCTAAACCCACAAAATGCTTGGTGTGAGTAGATTTCTTACCCAACTGAAGTGGCTGCATTTCATCAGTGTGTCTGAGGGATGGAGCAGAAGCAGCTCACACGAACTCACAGGCACTTAGATAGCAGCAGAGACTTTGGGAGGGGAGCCCCTAGGAGCTTGCAGGAATGGTGGAAGACCAGAAGGTCCCCCTGATATCTGGGTCCCTGTTTTAGAGTAGACAGCGTTCTGCATATACATGTATCCAATTGCATGGATTCAAATCCTGTATCAACTACCTATTAGCTGTGGGATCTGAGACCCGTCACTTAACTTCTCTGATCCTCACATTCCACATCTTTAAAAAGAGAATGTTAACACTGTATCCAAGGTGTCCTTGAGAGTTAAATAAGACACTGCGATGATGCGTCCAGCGCATAGTAGGTGTTTCCAAAAGCTGTACCTCCATTTCTCTCAGTTTCACTATTTCTGGGAGATGGATATGTTAGAAAAGTTCATTCGGTTGGCAACTAATCACACACAGACATTGCAGTGAGCAACGCCTTGTTTCCCCATTGCTTTCAGGTTGCAGATGAGAGGGAAAGGAGAGCAAGAGAAGTCAGAAGCGCAGGTTTAGCTACAGGGGCAAATGATGCAGCTGGTGTACATCTGCCCCTCATTTCCGCGCATGCACGCGTACACGCACGCACGCATACACCTGATTCATCCATCCTCCAGCCAACTTTCTAAAAAGAGTTCAATAGTTTGAAATTATTCATAGCGAATCTTTTCTCAAATTTTGGCATAACTGAGTAATCCAACTACTGAATAAAGAAGGACTTGGTATTTTTGGCTTCCTGGAAACTGTAGGGGAGAAAATGCTTCCTTCTACCCTTCTAGGTTCTGTGGCTGGTTTAAGAATTAAGTTGACATAAGACGGATTAATAGGAGGAAAAACCCCAACTTTAATTATGTATGTACCCACGGGGGCTCGGGAAAATATGAGACCCGAGGTGATTCTCAGAAGACTGAGATTTACATACCATCTTGAAGTAAGGAAAAGGGAGGGGTGGTCGGGGCTTTGGGGTGGAAGGAGGCAAATTCTGGGCCGGGTGAAGGAAGGAAGTGAAAATGGGCACAACCAGTAAATCCCAGGGGCCTTATTGTGCAGGTAAGAGCCTCTCTAGTGAAAGACCACCTCTGGTAGGCTCTCTTCCTGGTATATTTACTAATGGAAATTTCCTTTATAAATCTAAATTTCCTCTGCAAGAGGGGAAGTACATTTGTTCTTACAGGGTGTAGGGGAAGGTAAAGAGCTTTTCCTATGCCTGCTGGTTCTCCCTCACCTTTGACTCAAATAATCCACATGCCAAAGTGTCGTATTTTGGGGCGGCATGTTCTGAAACCTTCACATTTTTTTCAACACGAAACAACACAAAATGGATAACCTTTACCAAACTTTACCCAGAAATATCAGCGTGCTCCCAATAAGGACTTCCTTAGGATTGGTAGTGGGGCTCCTTGCCTCATCAAATCTGTGTGGGGGCAAACCCCTCGGAGCCCTAAGAACAGAGTTCGGTCAATCCTGAGCGTGTCAGCCAGCTCGGGAGACTAAAAGAAAGCGTGGTTGAACAAGTCTTAATCCGAATGCTGAGGAGCTGCAGTGACGTGGACCTCGGGCCCTGGCGAGGTGTTGCACAGGCTCTTGGTGCTTCACCACTGGAAATTTACTGATACAACGGGGCCCTCAGAAAATCTGGGCAAAATAGAAAATCAAGCTAGACATAAATGCCGAATAAAGGGAAGAAAGGTGATGTTTGGGCAGAAAGCCAGAGCTATCTTCACGCAGGCCCGGCGTGAAGGTAGCTCGAGGGGAGCTGGGCTGGGGTAGCCCTGTCCCCTCCTCCTGGGAACTGGGAGCTGCAGGAGCACCTAGGCACCATGCAAAGGAAGGGGGGCATCGGAGGTGACTGGATCTCAGGTCTGGTGTCCCTGGAAGATTTGGACAGTGGATAAGACATCTTATCAATTCCAGGCTTGCCTCTGATAGGAGCGGCTCCACTAGCATAGATTTAACCCAGAAATTAGGAACGCAGACAATTGCTCCTGTCCCCAGCGGCTCTGGCCAGAAACAATTATCCGCTTGGCTCATTAAAACAAGTAACGAATGCTAATTGTCTCCACAATTAGCCAAGTACTGGTTCAGCGCTTGTGCCTACAGTACGGGATTGTGAGGGCGGCTGGCAAGACAAGGACTTAAATTCAGCCCTAAATAGTCTGTTATTTTATTTTTTATTTTTTTCCTTTAGGCAGGCAGTGTGGGGTGCAGGGTATACAAAGAGGGAGGTTGGTCAAGGTGACCCCTATGCTATCTTTTGGCCTTCAGATCCTGGGATTTGTGGTGAAAGAAAATGCACAGAATCATAGAAGATCTGTTTCCACTGAGTCCACATAGTCGGGACGGTCCCTGGAGGGGAGGAAGCTGGGGAGAAGAGAAGGGGCTGGAGGCAGGGAGGAGGAGAGAAGTACCTTCCACACAAGGCAACGTTCCCCGCATTTCTGGAGGTTTCCTGAGGACCTACCTAGCTTCTCTGAGGGCTCCATGAGACCCTGGGGTGGATATCCCATCTCGCTGGGTAAGGCTCTTCCTGTGAAGACACCAGCCGAGGGAAGATGTGGCAGGAGGGAGAGGGCAGTGCGGCGGGTTGGGGGGGGGTGGAATGCTCAGAGCGGGCTCATACTTTACTTCTGAAATGGCTCAAATGATGAAACTCTGGCTTTCTGCCCAAACATCACCTTCTTCCCTTTATTCGGCATTTATGTCTAGCTTGATTTTCTATTTTGCCCAGATTTTCTGAGGGCCCCGTTGTATCAGTAAATTTCCAGTGGTGAAGCACCAAGAGCCTGTGCAGCTTCTGCCCAGAGAAGACATGGTGTGTCCCCTGCTAGGGACAGCAAGGGGATTCAAGCCCTCTGCCCTTTAGCGCAATACGTTCGAGAGCAACCAAGGAAAATGGAAGGGATGTTAATAAAAGCAAACACGAGGCAGGAAATAGAAAGAAAGACAGCAAATAGGGAAGAAAGGAGATTTGGGTCTGAAGGTTCCCAAGTGAGAAGTTACTGGAGGCAAAGATGCCCCTCTTCTCTCTCTCCTCCTGCTTCTCTGCATTCCACGTGTCCCACTCTCCAGCAGATCTGATCGCCAGATTTTTCCTCATATCCTAGCGATGGGTGAGAGTTGAAATATTAATCAGCCCTGAAGGATTTATATTATAAAAATGAATACTTGAAAAGGACCCTGACTACCCTCCCCAAGGAGACCCAAGATAGTGGGCAGTGTGGACAATGCAGTACTTGTTGGTGTCTCAACCTCAATAACACTTGAATGAAAAAGATAACAATATAAATACCGAATTTGTGCCCATGTATTATTGCTAAGTTTGATATTTCATGTCACCTTTTTTAAAGATTTTCTTTATTTATTTGACAGAGAGAGAGAGAGAGAGAGCACAAGCAGGGAGAGTGGTAGGCAGAGGGAGAGGGAGAAACGGGCTCCCTGATGAGGGACTCCATCCCAGGACCCTGGGATCATGACCTGAGCCAAAGGCAGACGCTTAGCCGACTGAGCCACCCAGGTGACCCTCATGCCACTTTTATATTCAGGAAATTTGCTGAGCAAAATGCATAATTAAATATATGATTTAGTTTTTATACATTAAAAAAAAACTTTTCATGGGCAAATTTTGCAACTCACATTTATTTGAAGAATCCAGCTTGCTCTGTAATTGTGTAAATATTTTTGAGCACCTATTGGCAACTGAGAAGCCTATTAGGATTATCAAGAGCTATTTTCCCCTTTGATCAGCGAACTCTTGAACAACACGGGGACTCTGGAGGGGATGGACGGTCCCAGTGCTGGGGTGCTGGTGGGTTTTCCACTCTAAAAAGATGTGACAACAGATACATAAGTGAGGGGGTGGGAAGGTGTCAGAAAATAGTGTGGCATACTGGTTTTTGAATTCACGTGTTTTGTAGATGTTAACACTGTCAACTCCATGCGTGCAGAAACCCTAGCCATCGCTAGGCTTTTAACCCAAGCAGCGCTCAAAAGCACAAATATTTCAACAACATCGTCAAGAATGATTACCAAGTGCAGGCCGTTCAACCTCTCTGGAGGGACCCCAGCGCAGTGCTGCCTGGAAAAACAGCCCTCCCAGGCCACCAGCCAGGGTGACAAATGTGACCAGCTTTTTTTAACTTCTCTCCTAGGGGCAGAAGAGAAACTTCTGGGGCAAGGTGTGATAGGGCAAGTTCCTGATCGGTGAGCACGCACCCCTCTTCAGTGCCTTTCCTAGCACTGCATACCCTCTCCCTCCCAACACACCAGAATTTCACAACATCCCATTTTAATTCCACCCCTGAGACCAGCATACAGCTCCCTAGGATGTATGAACCTGAGAAATAACCCTTACTTTCTTGGGAGGAATTTCTGAGACCGAAAGCCCAACAGCTTCTGACCAGTGGACGCTCTGGAACACCTGCCTTTTCTGCTGAATGCGGCTCCTCCCGTCTTACCCAGCAGAGCCCCTTCTGCAGCCGTCCACCTGGAGCCTAATGAAGAGCGTGTCTTGGTGCTTGGTGGAGGAGGGTGTGTTTTTCACAGCAGTCAAGAGTAGACCAGTTTATTATAAAAGTAAAATAGAGAAGTCCTCTTATCTGATGCACTCAGGAGAGTAGTTGATGATGAAATACACATTTGCAAAGGATGCAAAGATCTAGAATATTTCACCTTACTGAAAAGATATAATTTATTGGCTACTCTTTTGATTCGAGAACCAAGTTCTGTTCTTTGAGTGAGGTACCCTCCTGAGCAAATCCATGTTGAAGCTCATATCTATGTTTCTCTACTTTTTCTTTCTAAAGAAACATGAAATCATTTTATGAACGTTGGAACTAAATTTTCTCATTTAAAAGTCTGTAATGGCTAAATTCCCATTTCATTAAATATTATATTTCCATGTCACTTAAATGCTTGCCTATGATACTGACACATGGAAAGCTGGAGATGGACTACCCATTTTTTCTTTCATTCTTTGCCTTTTTTTTCCCTTTTGCTATATAAAAAGCATTGCTATTATTTAACACTCTTCTGAAAGTTCTAGCCAATTTTATAAGTAAGATACAATCACTGGAAAGAAGCCAAATTTATCATTAATCATAGTTGTGATGCAATGGAAAAGCTGTTAGAACTAATAAGGGTAACAGGATTATGGTACGCACAAGTTAAAAATAAAAGATACATGTATATGTGTGCATTTGTATTTATGTTTGTGTGTGTGCATACAGTTTCCCTGTGTGTGCGAAAATGACCACCTAAAACATAATGTAAAGAATACCATCTTAAAAAAAATTGCAACTACCTACAGTATAGCTGACATCAGATATTATTTGGTCATAAGAAGGACATCAAATTTTGCTAAGGGACACAAAAAGGAGATTTGAATAATGATATGAAGAATGCTATCATTTTATTTTATTTTACTTTATTTTGAGAGAGAGAGCACACGTGTGTGCACACCAAGTTGGGGCGGGGCAGAGGGGGAGAGAGAGAGAGAGAGAGAGAGAGAGAGAATCTTAAGCAGGCTCCGCGCTCAGCAGCGGAGCCCCCAACACGGGACTGAATCTCATGACCCTGAGATCATGACCTGAGCCAAAATTAAGAGTTGGGCGCTTAAAACCGACTGAGCCACCCATGAGCCCCCTGTTTTGTTTTAAGATTTTATTTTTAAGTAGGCTCTACACCCAGAATGGGTCTTGAATTCACAACCCCAAGATCAAGAGTCACGTGCTCCACCAGCTGAGCCCGCCAGGTACCCCAAGAATGTTACCATTTTACTATGACCACATTCACACTCTCCATGGGGTTCTTTCTGAACTTTAAATAGGATATAAAACTTCATCAGGAAGAGTCAACGGAAGAGGCTGAACAGGCAGACCCTTGTTCCCCGCACTGTGTGTACCCCTTACCCCCGATGCACTGAGGTCTAACTTACAAATAAAATTGCATATATTTAAAGTGTACAGTGTGATGAGTTGGCATATGCATGCATTGTGAAATGGTTGCCCCAATTAGATTAGTTAACACATCCGTCACTTCACGTGGTTACCTGTTTTTTTCTTCTACAGCGGCAAGAGCACTTAAGAGGCACTACTTCTGTATTCACGAATTTCAATGCAGTATTATTAACTATAATCACCATGCTGCACATCAGGCCCCCAGAGCTTGTCTTATGGCTGAACGCTCGTACCCTTTGAGAAATATCTATCCCCACCCGCCGAGCCCCTGCACCATTCTGCTCTCTATCTCTATGAGTTTGACTTTTTTTTAGATTCCATATCTAAGTAAGATTATATAATATTTGTCTTTCTCTATCTGGCTTATTTCACTTAGCATAATGTCCTCCAGTTTCATCCACGTTGCCACAAAGAGCAGCATGTCCTTCCCACGGCTGAACAATATTCCATTATACTACATTTTCTTTATCCATTCATCCAGTGACAGACACTTACGTTGTTTCTGTACCTTAGCTATTGTGAATAATGCTGCAATGAACATGGGAGCGCCGATATCTCTCTGAGACCCTGATTGCACTTCCTTTGGGTATGTAGTGGGATTGCTGGATCATAGAGTAGTTCTATTTAATTTTTTTGAAGAACGTCTATACTGTTTTCCACAGTGACATTCTTACTAACAGAGTTGCCTTTGTTCCACATCCTTGCCAACACTTGTTATCTCTAGCCTTTTCGATAAAAGCTGTACAAACAGGTGTGAGGTGATATCATTGTGGTTATGATTTAATTTCCCGGATGATTATTGATGTTAAAGCACCTTTTCATGTACTTGTTGGCCATTTGTATGTCTTCTTTGTAAAAATGTCTATTCAGTCCTTCTGCCCATTTTTTAACCAGAAACAATTTTTTTTTTTTTTTTTGCTATTGAGGTCTTTGTATATTTTGGGTATTAACCCCTTATCAGAAATACGACTTGCAAATATCGTCTCCCATTCCATAGTTTGCCTTTTCATTTTGTGGATGGTTTCCTTCACAGTGCAGTAGCTTTTTAGTTTGGCATTGTCCCACTTGTTTATTTTTGCTTATGTTGCCTTTGCTTTTGGTGTCAAATCCAAAAAAAAAAAAAAAAAAACTAAAAAATTCCCAAGAGGGATGTCAAGGGGCTTACCCACTATGTTTTCTTCTAAGAGTTTTATGGTTTCAGGCTTTCTGTGGAAGTCTTTGATCCATTTCCAGCTGACTTTTGTGTGTGGTGAAATATAGGGGTCCAGTTTCATTCTTTTGCATGTGGCTGTCCAGTTTTCTTAATCTTGTATGTATTAAGTTGGATGATTCAAATTTCTGTTTTGTCAGTTAGCATGGTCAAATATTGGCAAGTGCACATGGATTCATCCTTATGTAGTGTGATTCTTACTGGTTTGTAATATCATAGAAAGAAGGAAATACATTTGCATATTGACAATGGTCATCTCTGAGTTGTCTCTGAGTGCTGATATCATGAGTGACTGTGATCATCTTCTTTGTGGGTTTTCAGTATAGCCTAAAGATTCGATAATAAACTGTATAATTTCATAATCAGGAGAAGGGAAAAAGAAAGACCAACACTGGCCCCCACAAAAAAAATCTGTTCTTAAAAGAAATAAGAACTGTTTTAAAAAAATACTTTTCTTTGTGCATTTTCCTCATATGGAGAAAAGTAGAGAAAATAACGTAATTATCACTTACAAATCTTGGTCTAACATTGCTGACATTTTGCCATAAAAAAAATCTTTTATTTTTGCTGCAATATTTTCAAGTCAAACAACGTGGTATTTTTCAACCAAATGCTTTATCTTAAAAAGATGCAAACTTAACTTTTGTTATCTTACCTGATAAAATGAACAGTAACGTTTGCACATTCAAAATCTCAAATGATTATTATTTTTTAGAATATTTATTTATTTATTTATTTATTTGAGATAAAGAGCACAGCAGGAGGGGCAGAGGGAGAAGGAGAGAGAATTTTCAAGCAGACTCGCCGCTGAGTGGGGAGCCGGACACGGGGCTCGATCTCACGACCCGGAGATCACAACCTTAGCTGAAATCAAGAGTCGGATATCTAACTGACTGCATCACCCAGGTGCCCCTCTCAAACAATTATTCTATCGCATTTCTGGTATGTTTAACCATCACAACATGGTATCATTGAGGTTTCCTTTTTGCTTCTCTTTAATTTCGGAGGCATCTGGGAAAAGGGGATGGAAGATGGGAGGGAATTTGTTTCTGTCCTTGCTCGGTGCCAGCCAGCTCTCAAATACCGTCTTAGCAAAACACTGAGCATGAAGGTCACATCTCTGTGGTGGTTCCCTGTTGGGACCGCGCATCCTGCTGCTGGGTCCTCGGGTGGCTCAGCATCTGCATATGAATAAATTCATCTCAAATTTTGTGCTCTTTCAGACTGTGGGGAGCGAGTACAGGTGACAGCAACTTAGCACACAGTGAGTGGTAGGGTTGAGATTTGGGGTCCCATGTGGATACCTGGACCGCGGGCACAGTTTCTTTCATGGAATAAATATGTGCAGTGTTTATTAGAAGCAGAAGCAAATTAGTAGCGCCCTCGCCTTCTCACACAGCTTAACTATGGCGGGTGGGGGGGTGCAGGATGAAGTTTAGGTCAGGGCTCCCACTGAGCCATTCAGGTGTGCTTCCTTCTTCTTCCTCCTTCCACTGCCCCTCCCAACACTCTCTGAGCGGTATAACCTTTTCAGTTTCGGAATCATCTGTCACAAAAAGATGCCTGGCTACCTCTAGCTGGAACCACAGTGTGCACCCCCACCTCCCCCATACAAGCTCTCCAGAGAGATTCTTTTTTTTTTTTTTTAAGATTTTATTTTATTTATTTGGGAGAAAGAGTGAGAGAGAGCATGAGCAGGGGCAGGGAGGAGGCAGAGGGACAAGCAGACTCCCCGCTGAGCAGGGAGCCCGATGTGGGGCTCGATCCCAGGACCCCGGGATCATGACCTGAGCCGAAGGCAGGCGCTTCACCGACTGAGCCACCTGGGTGCCCCCAAAGAGATTCTTGAAATAGGGAGAACTGGACCCCCTGTGCTTGCTGCCGGGAAGGGCAGCCTATAAGCCATATAGATCATCCTTGGGTTCGGCCCATTTGGCCTTTACTTGGGCTGACATCCATCCTCTGATTTATTTTAAAATGACGCTGACTTTCTATAGGCTGAGCCATCCCTAAATAGACTCATTCGGCCTTTGGAGTGCCGATTTCTGGAATCAAGGTGGGGCACTTCCTCCAGGAGACACGACACATCTTGCTTGTGTTCGGGATTTAGAGAAAAGTAATCCTAGGATGGAGAGGGTGGCTCTCTCAGCGCCAGGAGAAAGAAAGCAGCATCTGTGGCCACCCTGGGGAGGGAGAGATGACCCTGCCCCTCCCGCCGCACCATCAAAGGAGATCTAATCAGGGACAGGAGGTTCAGGAAGTGGCTGGAGGCAGTGCCAGGCACTCTGGATTCCCAGCTGGCGCCCAGGGTCACCGGGGTGGCCTCGTGGTGGAGAGAGGGGCTAGCAAGAACCCAGGGGCACCAGGCCTGGCTGTGGGGGCGGAGGGTCCGCTTACCATTAGCGGTTCAAAAGGACTGAGACACACCGCGGGGCATGAGTGCCCATGGGATATGCCGGCACGGGAAGGCTGAATGGTGCCCAGCCATAACCCCAGCACACCAGGGCTGCGTCCTGGCGGCCAGACCACGCCAAACTTGCCAGGCCAGAGGCAGCAGGGCCCTCCTCTGCTCTCTGTCCTGATTACCATGAGAATAGCTCTTGGGTGTAGCTGAGCAAGACATCCCAGACACCTTAGCGGCCATAGCTGTGCCGGCCTGAGGCCCCTTTACCTTAGGAGCTACTGGAAACCCAAGGCTGGCTTCCCTCAGGGTGCTTGCTCCATACCTCCCTCCCACGCCCAAACTTGACAGCTCTGCCCTCTGTCCTAAAACAGACATTGACCCCACGAGGACAGTGACAACATTAAACACACAGTTCTCGAACTAGATTTCCCAAGTGAACATAATTTTTCTTTTCCTACATAAATGACAAAAGCTTTGGTGCCATTTCCCATGTTAGGGGTGGTTTTGGCAAATGGAGTTTGCAGTCCACAGAATCACAATGTCTGAGAACTCTAGTGGTTTAAGGGAAGAGAAGCATATTTGAAATCTAACCATTCCCAAGAAACAAGGGGCACATTTGCTTACCACTTGTTTGTCTTCAATCCCTCTGGCTGCTCCTTTTTGGAGTCCATGGCGAACTGGTCTCATGTCACCCCTAATGTGTTATTTGCCTGGAGTTTTCTCTCTGTTCTTTCACTCACGGCCTTATTTACCCCCCTTGAGATGCAGGGTGGCTCCAGCCAGGGAGAAGCTGCCCAGCTGACTCTGGGTCAGCCCCTGCTGGTCTGTGGCCGCCCTGCACCGCCCCCTCCCCCCCGCCCCCCG